TACTCTATGAAGTGTAAAGAAATACACACACCAGTTCAGAGTTCATACAACTACACTTTTGTCTTTACTATTGAAAACTCCAAATTCATATTTTTTAAATGTTATATAAATTCTCTTAAAATATATTCCTGACTTTATTTCAAAAATCCTGTTTTGTTAACAAACTAGAGAGTAGGTGTTACAAATCCAGGAAGGGTATTGAGGGCACAGGATGTATTGATGAACTTGGGTGCGGCTCTGCAGGAGGTGGACCCTGGTGGACAGCGGCCACTCATGTCTTCACCTGGGCTCCCCCAGACCCCCTGGGAGCACCCTCTTGTCAACCAGAACAAGGTCTTGTAAGGGTTGCTGCAAAGTCACCATGTCTGTACGCAGCTGTGCCTTAAAAAAATCACTAATTCTCTCTTGAGTCCTTCTCTAGCCATTACAAGTCTCTGGGGGAAAACATGTCTATCATGCTCCAAGATCTGCCCTTTTAAGTTACGGTGTTAAGGGAGACCCTTAAGAGGGCCACAGCACTGTAAGAAGGGATGGTCATTTTTTACAGACAGATTAAGACAGTATTTTCCAATCTTAAAAAATGGAAAGACAGTAAAGTGACTGTGACATTGGCATGAAATAGCAACTTGGAATCCATGTAGGTCCACTTGGGTGCATGTGGTGGTGGGTGCCCAGAGAGCATGTCTTTTGTGGATGGAGGAACCAAGAGAGTATCCATACATCAGCACCCCAACACTAACTACAGACCATCTTCAGTCTCCACAGGATTATCTGTCAGGCTCTGTTCTCCCAGTCTGCACCCTAAGGAGAAGGTATTGGACAATGGCACACTGATTCAGGGAGCTCTTTGAGAAATGGTCCCCTGTGCCTGGAATTGAGACTAGAGAGTGGATTTCAGGATTATTGTGGTGGTCCAGGTGGGGACATGGCTGCAGTCTGTAGTACAGCGCACACACAGCACCCCGTGAGTGGTTGGAAGAGCACAGGGGAGCGTGTGCACAAAGCAGTCGCAACTGATAAAGCTGACGCAACTCAAGTGTGACTGCCTTCTAACACGTCAGCAAGAAGCTCCATGGAAGAATCTCAGCATATCGAAGTAAGGGAAAGTCAAAAAAGCAAACAAAGAATTTGACTGCCACAAGGAACACTGACATACTCACCCAAGAGTTTAGGGAAATAGATTTACTATTACGTATTATCCAGGTACTGCAGAGGCAAATAAAAATACAATTGGAGTAGTAAGGATCCGCGGTTCCATCTGTTCTGCAAGCTTAGTTTAAAAGAAAAAATCTTTACGAGTTCAACATCAGTCAGCGCACCGCGAAGTGTCTACAGAGGAGCAAAATTATGAAGGACAAAGGAGAAAGGGTGAAGCATCATGTCCTGTTAGCTCTGCACCACTGAATGTTGCTCTCAAGGATCTTTAGTTTCATAGCTGAAGAGTGACATTTAAGACTAGATGCATCCAAACTGATGAAAAACATCTGGACAGGAAAAAATTAAAGCAAAGCAATGCAGACAAACCGACGGACACCTTACAGAGTGGCAGCGCTTTGCATCGACCAGCAAAGGGAGCAAGGCAGAAAGTCTGTTTGTTTTTGGCCGCTGGGCTATGGCTCACAAGCAGATGTGCTATTCAACAGAAATGATCAGGAAGGATGCTGGGTTCTGCCAACAGCCGTCGCCAAAGGCAACATCACCGGTGAGAGCAGACCAAAGCCTCGCACTCCCACAGGCCATCCAGCGTCACAGCGCATCTCCCCTTCCAAGTCCACAGTCGTTAAGCAAGTTAAACTTCAGCTTAAGGTCACATTAGCATATCAGAAACTGACAAGGACTGTGACGATATCGAACACATGGTTACATAAAAGGCAGTGGTACAAATGATCCTGGAGGTACGTGTCTTCAGAGGCTCACGGAGCCCCTGGGGGCGGGTTCCTGCAGCACTACAACTGCGTAGCCAACGTTGCCTGCGCAAGGGGGTCGGCCGTCCAGAGCCTGGGTGTAGCAAGACAGTCACACGGTTGTAGGAACGCAAGGGCCCGTCGTCCTTCAGAAGATGTACTCCTTCTGACTCCCGCGGGCTGTGTTCTGTAAGTGGAGGTCGCATTTGAGCGCGGCCTCAGCTCGGCCCTCCTCCTCCGGCCGTTTTGCCT